CTTCTCTACTAAAAATGATAAAAAAGCCGCGATTGTCGAACGATTCAACAGAACACTTAAAACATCTATGTGGAAATATTTATACAGTAAAGGAACATATAAATGGATTGATATATTGGATGATTTAGTATATAATTATAACAATACAAAACACAGTACAATCTTGATGAAGCCTAAAGATGTTAATAAAAATAATGAAGATGAAGTATGGTTCTGAAGTTGCTTATTTACCATTACCTAAGATTAAAATTGGTGATATGTTTAGAATATCAAAGTATAAATCTATATTTACGAATGGTTATGAAGCAAATTTTACAGAAGAGTTTTTTAAAGTGACTAAAGTTATTAGAGGAGATCCGAATTTATATGAGATAGAAGATTTAGAAGGAGAGCCTATAATTGGTAAATTTTATGAAGAGGAACTATCAGTTGTGAATAAGAAAGATGATGTTTATAGAGTTAAAAAGATATTAACACGTAAGAAGGTTAAAGGTCAAAAGATGGTTTTAGTTAAATGGTTAGGTTATGATAATAAACATAACAGTTGGATTCCTGAAAGTGAAATACAAAATATAGAGTAATCTATGTAATGGCAGAAGGAGGTTATGATTATATTGAATTAGAAGATAATAAGGAAGAAGATAACGATGATAATAAAGATCAAGAATATTGGCAAAATTTTCAATGTATTGATGAAGCATCATTTACTGATGATAATTACGGTGTAACAATAAGAAGACCCGAACCCATGACCTCTGCGGTGCCGGTGCAGTGCTCTGACCACTGAGCTATGAAGTCACACAGTGGTGAGCAGGTTAATATTGTTGGGCTCATGTTTTCTCGTGAAATGAATGTCATATGAATGTTTTATGCAGTGCGGTGTTTTGAAATTAAATGAGATATGATCTTCGCATTTAGCTGGACAATTTAAGCAATCGTCTCAGGACCTGAAAAAATCAGGTGACTCAACGAGATTCGAACCCATGACCTCTGCGGTGCCGGTGCAGTGCTCTGACCACTGAGCTATGAAGTCACACAGTGGTGAGCAGGTCAATATTGTTGGGCTCATGTTTTCTCGTGAAATAAATGTCATATGAATGTTTTATGCAGTGCGGTGTTTTGAAATTAAATGAGATATGATCTTTGCATTTAGCTGGACAATTTAAGCAATCGTCTCAGGACCTGAAAAAATCAGGTGACTCAACGGGATTCGAACCCATGACCTCTGCGGTGCCGGTGCAGTGCTCTGACCACTGAGCTATGAAGTCACACAGTGGTGAGCAGGTCAATATTGTTGGGCTCATGTTTTCTCGTGAAATGAATGTCATATGAATGTTTTATGCAGTGCGGTGTTTTGAAATTAAATGAGATATGATCTTCGCATTTAGCTGGACAATTTAAGCAATCGTCTCAGGACCTGAAAAAATCAGGTGACTCAACGAGATTCGAAAACATGACCTCTGCGGTGCCGGTGCAGTGCTCTGACCACTGAGCTATGAACTCACACAGTGGTGAGCAGGTCAATATTGTTGGGCTCATGTTTTCTCGTGAAATAAATGTCATATGAATGTTTTATGCAGTGCGGTGTTTTGAAATTAAATGAGATATGATCTTCGCATTTAGCTGGACAATTTAAGCAATCGTCTCAGGACCTGAAAAAATCAGGTGACTCAACGGGATTCGAACCCATGACCTCTGCGGTGCCGGTGCAGTGCTCTGACCACTGAGCTATGAAGTCACACAGTGGTGAGCAGGTCAATATTGTTGGGCTCATGTTTTCTCGTGAAATGAATGTCATATGAATGTTTTATGCAGTGCGGTGTTTTGAAATTAAATGAGATATGATCTTCGCACTTAGCTGGACAATTTAAGCAATCGTCTCAGGACCTGGAAAAATCAGGTGACTCAACGGGATTCGAACCCATGACCTCTGCGGTGCCGGTGCAGTGCTCTCACCACTGAGCTATGAAGTCACACAGTGGTGAGCAGGTCAATATTGTTGGGCTCATGTTTTCTCGTGAAATGAATGTCATATGAATGTTTTATGCAGTGCGGTGTTTGAAATTAAATGAGATATGATCTTCGCATTTAGCTGGACAATTTAAGCAATCGTCTCAGGACCTGAAAAAATCAGGTGACTCAACAGGATTCGAACCCATGACCTCTGCGGTGCCGGTGCAGTGCTCTGACCACTGAGCTATGAAGTCACACAGTGGTGAGCAGGTCAATATTGTTGGGCTCATGTTTTCTCGTGAAATGAATGTCATATGAATGTTTTATGCAGTGCGGTGTTTGAAATTAAATGAGATATGATCTTCGCATTTAGCTGGACAATTTAAGCAATCGTCTCAGGACCTGAAAAATCAGGTGACTCAACGGGATTCGAACCCATGACCTCTGCGGTGCCGGTGCAGTGCTCTGACCACTGAGCTATGAAGTCACACAGTGGTGAGCAGGTCAATATTGTTGGGCTCATGTTTTCTCGTGAAATGAATGTCATATGAATGTTTTATGCAGTGCGGTGTTTGAAATTAAATGAGATATGATCTTCGCATTTAGCTGGACAATTTAAGCAATCGTCTCAGGACCTGAAAAATCAGGTGACTCAACGGGATTCGAACCCATGACCTCTGCGGTGCCGGTGCAGTGCTCTGACCACTGAGCTATGAAGTCACACAGTGGTGAGCAGGTCAATATTGTTGGGCTCATGTTTTCTCGTGAAATGAATGTCATATGAATGTTTTATGCAGTGCGGTGTTTGAAATTAAATGAGATATGATCTTCGCATTTAGCTGGACAATTTAAGCAATCGTCTCAGGACCTGAAAAATCAGGTGACTCAACGGGATTCGAACCCATGACCTCTGCGGTGCCGGTGCAGTGCTCTGACCACTGAGCTATGAAGTCACACAGTGGTGAGCAGGTCAATATTGTTGGGCTCATGTTTTCTCGTGAAATGAATGTCATATGAATGTTTTATGCAGTGCGGTGTTTGAAATTAAATGAGATATGATCTTCGCATTTAGCTGGACAATTTAAGCAATCGTCTCAGGACCTGAAAAATCAGGTGACTCAACGGGATTCGAACCCATGACCTCTGCGGTGCCGGTGCAGTGCTCTGACCACTGAGCTATGAAGTCACACAGTGGTGAGCAGGTCAATATTGTTGGGCTCATGTTTTCTCGTGAAATGAATGTCATATGAATGTTTTATGCAGTGCGGTGTTTGAAATTAAATGAGATATGATCTTCGCATTTAGCTGGACAATTTAAGCAATCGTCTCAGGACCTGAAAAAATCAGGTGACTCAACAGGATTCGAACCCATGACCTCTGCGGTGCCGGTGCAGTGCTCTGACCACTGAGCTATGAAGTCACACAGTGGTGAGCAGGTCAATATTGTTGGGCTCATGTTTTCTCGTGAAATGAATGTCATATGAATGTTTTATGCAGTGCGGTGTTTGAAATTAAATGAGATATGATCTTCGCATTTAGCTGGACAATTTAAGCAATCGTCTCAGGACCTGAAAAAATCAGGTGACTCAACGGGATTCGAACCCATGACCTCTGCGGTGCCGGTGCAGTGCTCTGACCACTGAGCTATGAAGTCACACAGTGGTGAGCAGGTCAATATTGTTGGGCTGATGTTTTCTCGTGAAATGAATGTCATATGAATGTTTTATGCAGTGCGGTGTTTTGAAATTAAATGAGATATGATCTTTGCATTTAGCTGGACAATTTAAGCAATCGTCTCAGGACCTGAAAAAATCAGGTGACTCAACGGGATTCGAACCCATGACCTCTGCGGTGCCGGTGCAGTGCTCTGACCACTGAGCTATGAAGTCACACAGTGGTGAGCAGGTCAATATTGTTGGGCTCATGTTTTCTCGTGAAATGAATGTCATATGAATGTTTTATGCAGTGCGGTGTTTTGAAATTAAATGAGATATGATCTTTGCATTTAGCTGGACAATTTAAGCAATCGTCTCAGGACCTGAAAAAATCAGGTGACTCAACGGGATTCGAATCCATGACCTCTGCGGTGCCGGTGCAGTGCTCTGACCACTGGGCTATGAAGTCACACAGTGGTGAGCAGGTCAATATTGTTGGGCTCATGTTTTCTCGTTCAATGAATGTCATATGAATGTTTTATGCAGTGCGGTGTTTTGAAATTAAATGAGATATGATCTTTGCATTTAGCTGGACAATTTAAGCAATCGTCTCAGGACCTGAAAAAATCAGGTGACTCAACGGGATTCGAACCCATGACCTCTGCGGTGCCGGTGCAGTGCTCTGACAACTGAGCTATGAAGTCACACAGTGGTGAGCAGGTCATTATTGTTGGGCTCATGTTTTCTCGTGAAATGAATGTCATATGAATGTTTTATGCAGTGCGGTGTTTTGAAAGGGCAGGACAATATTGTTGGGCTCATGTTTTCAGGACCTGAAAACATGAGCCCAACAATCGTCTCAGGACCTGAAAAATCAGGTGAAAACATGAGCCCAACAATATTGACCTGTTCACGAGAAAACATGAGCCCAACAATATTGACCTGCTCACCACTTTGTGACTTCATAGCTCAGTGGTCAGAGCACTGCACCGGCACCGCAGAGGTCATGGGTTCGAATCCCGTTGAGTCACCTGATTTTTTCAGGTCCTGAGACGATTGCTTAAATTGTCCAGCTAAATGCCAAGATCATATATCATTTAGTTTCAAAACACCGCACTGCATAAAACATTCATATGATAAAACTTCCCTTGAATTTCCTCACCGTTGTTATCACAAAGCTTATATGTAACAGGATCCGTCAACAAAACTTTACTTATATAAAAAACCTCATTAACCCACTGTCTTAAACTTTCCTTTTCAAAAATATTATTTTTAATTCTTGAAATTTGCACCTTATCATTTTTTTTTAATATATTTAAATTTTTATTTCTTTTTTTGTTTAAAATATTAGACAGTCTTTTGATGTAATTTATTTTTTTTCCACCTAAATAGACATCATATGGTGAAAGATTATCGGAATGTAATCTGCGATGAGGAGATTCGTTATATCTTTCCACAATTAAATGTAAGTATTTTTTATAATTAAAAATTTCTTTTTCGCTTCTCGTTTCCAACAAGTCAATAGTTCTTCTAATGATCTGTTGTATTGTTCGTATGTATCTTTCAGCATGAGTAGCTTTAATTTCACGATTATAGGTATTATAAATTGTAAAATTATATTTCTTTGATAATTCTTTTCGAATCCCTTGAAATTCACTTCCCTCGTCCGATACTATTTTTTTAGGAAATTCATTTTCTTTCAATTAAAATATCTTCAAATTTTTTCATAACATTTTTACTAGATTTATTTTGTAATAAACGGACAAATGCATATTTTGCATAAACATCAACTACACATAACAAATATCGTAAATTATCATTATATCTTGGCAAACCTTTCATTTCAGCTAAATCAATACTCCACAAATCATTTTTTTCCATATATTTATATTTAAACGATTATATTTTTTCTTTTTCTTTTGATACAAATTACATATATTTTGTTTATTATCTTCTAAATGTTCACCTTTTAATAATCTTGCGGCTTTTTTTATAAAATCGTCATTAATTAAATTAGTCTACTTCTTCGTTCTCCTCATCGTCATTATTTACAATCGTTGGAAGAGGATGATGATAATCAAGCACTGAAAGAAAAATGTCATTATATATTCTTTCGATTTTATCATTTCCATATTTTTTATAAATTTCTACAAAATCATAATTCTTTGCCATTTTTTCCTCTAAAATTTCATTCATAATTTCACTATGATAAACAACGCAATCATATATTGAAATATCCAATTTATTAGAAAACTCTTTCAACATATAAATAGCTTCAATATCATTATCAATTTCAATGTCATTACCATTTTCAATATCATTTCCATTTTCATTCATTCTTCTTTTTTTTCTTGGTACGGGTCTCGTCTTTTTTTTTTACTTTTTTTTTCTTTAACTTCCTTTACTTTGGTTGGTTTTTTCTTCTCTTCTTCACTTTTTAATAAATCACGACAAGATGCAAAAAATTCTCGCAATTTTTGTGATATAGATTTTAAGTCGTCATCTTTTCTGAAATACACTTTGTAAAATTCATCCGTCCAATCAATCATCGAAATATCATTTAGATCGCTTGGTTTGAAACATTCATCCCACTCATCATTATCATCATCAAGACAAATAGTTACACTTTCATCAACAGTACGAGATGCTTTTTGTGTTTTTAAAATAAGTTTCCCTGATTCACGTTCCAAAATAACACGTTTTTCGTTAGATGAAAACAAAACTTCATACAAATCTTTACCTTCATCTTTATTAGCAATTTTATTCAACACGTTTGCTAATTTTTCACATGCTTGCAAATTCATTTGCAATTCGTCTTTGCAACACAACCCATCATTGTACGGAGAGTAAACAGATTTTGAAAAAAAACATAACTTACTAAAACGATTAAAACTGCATACTTTATTTCCAAGGATTGCTTTTCCATTCGTATAACTTTGTAAAACTGTTACCAAATCTCTAAAAGTTTTTTTATAAATGGTAAACTCTTGAGCCATTTGTTTTATCTTTTCCTTAAAAAACTTATATCGATGTGATGTTTGAAAGTATATGAAATCAAATGATACAAAACATGAAAAATAAAATGAATATATACCCTAAAAAATGGAGAATTTTTTTTATTTTTACAAAAAATCAACAAATTTTTTTTACAAAATTATCAACAAATGTTTTTTCATTAATCCCATTCCATTTTTGTTATATTAATAAATGGTCCCCTAAAAAAATATAATTCTTTACCAATATTTTTTTCTATATATTTTTGTTCATTTATATAAATATTATTATAGTCTCTGAGATATGTTTTATATTTTAAAATAAAATTATAAATTTTTTTTTGATCAGTAATTTTCAACTCGTTATTCTTTGATAAAAAGTCAACAATATAATTTTTAGAAAAAATTTTTTTAAAAAATCTTTCGTCGAATTGAAACAAATAAATTCCGTTAAAATAACAATGAATTATATTATTCCCATTCATCACCACCACCAATACAGATAGTTCCTTCTTCTAACAAATACGTATTTTTCATAAGTTCCTGTATCTCCAAAATTTTCTTTTCTTGGTATTTTATCTTTTTCATAAATCCCTCTTCAATAATATAACAGTGATAACAAATATACCACGAAAAAATTAATGAAAAAAGTAATAATGTCACAAGAAACGTTATAATCATTTCATCTACGTTTTCTTCCAACATGGATATAATGAAGTAAATTCAATATATTTAACCTTTTCATTTTCCTTCACTTCAGCCATTTCTCCATTCTTATTGATCTTATTGCTCTTTATATAAACACACAAACAAAAAAATAATAAAAAGGATAAACAAAAAACAATTAAAAATAACATCAACAGCGTCATCATCATGATCATTTTCAAGTACGTTCATCAAATAAAGTCTTTAATTCCTTGATATTTTCTTCCAATATCTTTATCCTGGTATTAAAAAATTCCACTTTCGTTGAATGTATTTCGTTCAATTTAAGAAAAATACAACCAGTTATAAGTAAAAGACAAATGTAGGAATCATCCATTTCTCCGTTCTTATTGTTCTTATTGTTCTTTATATAAACACCCAAACATAAATTAAATAATAAAAATATTACATAACATAAACAATAAACAATTATTAATAGTATCACAATCATCATGATTATTTTCCATTTTCATACAATAATTTTTTTCTTTCTTCTATCAATTTCTCTAACTCTATAATTTTATTTTCTTTTTCTTTTATGATAATATCTTGCTCTTTTATGATAATATCTTACTCTTTAATCTTGTGGATAAGAGTTTCAATCTCTACATTCAATTTTTCAACATCTAATTTTAAAGCAGTCCCTTCTTGAGATTTTTCTCAATTGTATCCAAAAAAAATAAAATATAAGCCCTATAAAATTGTTGTTTATTCATAGTTTTGAATATAATGCAATTTTTTTCTTAAAATTTTATTTTCATTTTGAATATCTTTACATAATTTTTTTAATGCAGCAAGCGTAAAACTTTCGTTAACAATAAAATTTTCTTCTTAATACAGTTATGAGTATATATATGTATCAATCAACTATCAAGTCATCGTCTTTTTCTTCAAGTTTTTTTAGCAATATTTTATTTATATCAATCAATTCATTTTTTTTTCACATAAAGATTTATTTACTATTTTCATTTCTTCATTAGTTAGAAATAATGTTTCTTCTCTTTCTACAAATTCTTTGTTCTTTTCTTCAGCAATTCGAAGTCTTTCTTCTAAATCCTTTATCTTTTGTTCTGTGATATTTTTTTCCAACATGTAATTTGTGATTCTAACTTGATTCCTATAATTTTCAAACGATATTTCAGCTATGATTTTTTTATCTTTTTCTCTTTCTTTAAGAGCTTTAAAATATTCACCAAAAATGTATTGATTAGTCTCACGAGATAAATCAAAAAATCTACTTATATCCCGTACAAAACTCTCTCCATTATCCATATTTAAAATATTTTTATCTTCTCTAATAATTCCTTCACTGTATTTAAACCATGTCTTTTTTGTTTACAAATCCAAGCGCTCTCTTTATATATACCAGTATCGTCTATAGATTGCATACATATTTTAAACTAATCATATTGTTCATCATTTTTATGGTAAATTCTATAAAAATATTCGTTGGTTAAAACACTATGTACAAGTACGAAGTTCTCATCCATTTTTGTTCATGTCTTCATTTGATCGTTGATCTTTATACGCAGGATCAGAAAACCCAAAAGGTAGATAAATTTGATTTTTTTCATTTTTCTTGAGTGTATTCACACGTATTTAAGAATAACTTCCAACAATATTAGAGAATTTTAAATCCTCTCCATGCCATTCTTTAAAATCATTATATAAATCAGAAGAAACTAACAAATTGTTTAACAAATCAATATATCCGTGAATTAATGAAAATAAAGTAACTTCATTTTCTAACACCACTTCTTTTAAAAATTTTTTTCTCTCTCTTTCTTCTTCCTCGTAAGCTTTATTTATTCTTTCCAAGGTTTCAGGAGGAATAGATGTAATTGATATCTTTATATACAATATACAAACCAAAACTTCATGCAACGATACTATTGATATGATTGAATAGTAAATTTTACAACAAATGTTTATAACAACAAACAACCAAGTAAATATATACTTCATTATCTACGTTTTTCTTTAAAAACAAATCGTGCTCATTTTCTTCATATTTATCCAAGTCGAAAACCACCTCTTCGTTTTTTTCTTCATTATACCATGGTGTATTTCTTAAATCATTGTACAATTGTTCATTCTTCAAAATATGTCTAATAATCCGAATATAATCATGAATAGAAGAAACTAATTTCTCATTACAAACAATCATATCTTATAAAAAGTCTTTCCTTTTTTTTTCAGGTATTTTTTCCCATTCAGAAAGATATGCTTGTGCTCGTTTTAAATTTTGTTCCATAGTATATCAATAAAGTTAAGAGAAAACAGCAAAAAGAACACACTTATATATAAAATAAAATGGGTAAAAGTGAAATAGGTAAAATTTATGAATTTTTAACTGAATTTAATTGTAGTAAATGTATATATATCTATTTTTTACCAAATAATTATAAATATGTTAGTGAATTAACTTTTAATGAATTTATTATTAACCATATAAATCATATTGAATACGAAAAAAAAATAAATAAAAAAAAATTCAAAAAAGAATTTAAAAAATGGAAAAAAGAAAAAAACACTTTATATTATTACAAAACTATATAAAACCTGTTGTGTAAAATTTTAAAATCAAAAATAGATATGGCATATGAACACATCTATAAAATATACAACAAATTACATTATAAATATTGTTTTTCTTGTACATCGTGTCGAAATCATAAAATTAAGTTAAGTTGGTTTGGTCATACACCATTATCAAATGAAGATGCTATCAAGTATCATGCAGAATTTTGTTGTAAAGAAAATGAAGAATTAAAGAAAAAAGTTGAAGAAGAAATGAAATATATCGAAGAAGAAAAAGAAAAAAGGAAAAAAAAATAAAAGAATATGGAAGAAAGAACTTAAAGAAATAAAAATGAAAAAATCCCTATTTAAAACCTCATGTAAATTTTTTTAAAAGAGAAAAAAAAAACACTTCAAATCGATAAAAGTATACAAGAAAGAAATAGAAATTAAAAAAATATGTTAGTTTATTGTAAACAGATTAAATTGTAAACTTTATTCATTTTCATACTGACATTTTTTGGAAAAATAGGTGACTTATTTTGGAAAAAATGAATGAAAATAAGAATAGTATTGCAAATGAAAGATATAGAAAATTATTTTATAAATATTGTTTTTATTGTAAAGAATGTCAAAGATATCAAATGGAAGCTTTATATAATGCTTCATTACCAAAAAATCCAACACAATGTGTTTTTCATCATTTGTATGTTTGCTGTAAAGAAAAAGAAGAAATAAAAAAAATTGAGGAAGAAATTAGTTTTATTGAAGAAGAAAGGAAAGAAAAAACTTAAATGTCATATAAAACATACCATACAAGCAAAATCAATACAGCATACAGAAAACTGTTTTATAAATATTGTTATCATTTAATATATGTTTTGATTACGAAATTTATTTGAGTTTGAAAAATTCACCAACACCAACTGCAGCAGAAAGTATTGATTATCATGCAAACGTTTGCTGTAAAGACAAAAAAGGATTAAAAAGAAAAATTAAAGAAGAAATTCAATCGATAAAAGAAGAAGAAGAAAAAAAGAGGAAAAATAAAAGATATGTTAAGAAAGAACTTAAAGAAATAAAAAGAAAGAAAAACACATTATTCTATTTTTCTTTTTTTTAAGAAATTTAAATTTTTGAATGGAACAAAATAAAAGTGATTATTTTCTTGAAAATAAAAGTGATAATTTTCTTGAAAATGAAAGATATAAAAAATTATTTTATAAATATTGTTTTTATTGTAAAAAATGTCAAAGATCTCAAAAACTTTTAAATAACGCGTCATTACCAGTATACCCATCAGATTGTATTTTTTATCATACATATACTTGCTGTAAAGAAAAGAAAGAATTACAAAAAAAAATTGCAAAAGAAGTTAATTTTATTCATAAAGAAAGAAATTATACAACGGTAAGATAATGTTATTAACAAAACTCAAATCAGAATATATTCATTTTTAACCAAAGTTTTGTTGTATTACAGAAAGAAAAGAAAAAAAAAAGAAAAAATGAATGAAAATATTGATATAAAAACAAGGCTACAAGAATTATTTTCATTTATAAAAACAACAAATATTTTACTGCAAAAAGAAATAAAAGAAATAAATGATATGATAACAAAAAAGGAAAAAGAACATTTTTTACATTCTTACAAATTACTTGATAAAATTAATGAATTAGAAAAAAAAGATAAAAATGTTTTATCTGAAAAAAAATCAACATCTGATGAAGCAACTGGATTATTCGGTAAATCTAGTGCTCAAAAAACATTTAATTTACTTAGTAAAGAAGAAAAACCAGAAGTATTTGGTGAAGGTAAAAAAACATTTGATTTACCCAGTAAGGAGGAAAATCTATTAACATTCGGTGGATGTCGTCAATCAAAATTTGGTGGTGTGCCCGTGGGGTTCATGGGATCATGTACGATCTAGTGGATTATTTTAAAAAAATTTTTTTAATATAACATTTTAAATTGTAAAAACATGTAATAAATTGTTTTTTCTTGAATAAAATTGTTTTGCAATTTTTTACATTTTTTTTCATTTTTTTACATTATTAAATTTATTTCTTTTCAATTTTTTTCAACTTTTTTCAACTTTTTACAATAAATTTCATTTTTTTTAAATTTTATCTATATTTATACTTTTTTCTATATGTAGATGTATCATAAATATTCAATCACTCAAAGAGAGAAGATGTCTTTCAAAAATAGAATTAATTCAATTATTCAAGATCTGAAATTTTTTTGGAAATATGATGGTCAATATTTGTTTATGACAGGTCTTCTTCATATTGGATTTCTTTTCTGTCTTCATTAAGCAACAACGTGTTTGGTTCAGTCTGCTAATATTGATGTTTGTGATTAAATTTATCTCCACTTTTTTTGGTAAGCATATTTTAATTTTTATTATTTATTAACATTATGATACTTACTTGTTTAACATCATTTCTTTTTTTAGAAAAAATTTTGTTAAATATTAGAATGTGTAACATACGATGCAACTCAGTTTATCCATGTCTTCTTTGTATGGAGTTGAATAGTTGGTTAAAAGTGGTTTTGGAGCGATAATGAATTTGGTGAATTATATAAGTCCTTTTATCGATTCTTTATTGTGGATAAAGCATTGAAGCGAGACAATTTGTATCATCAATAAATTGGACTTTGAACTTTCCATATTATCATTCAAAAAATTGGACTTTGGACTTTCATCAATGTAAGTATTTTATATTGTATTTGAAATATATCTTTTTTTATAAAATCTTGTTTATATATTACTCTTATTCACTTTTCTAATATATATATATGTATATTATCACAGGCTCACCCTCCTCTATTATTATGTTTACTACCGCTGACTGCCTCAAAAACGATCCCCCCGGTTTTTTTTATTATAAGATGTATTATGACTATTTTTAGACATAATACATTTTATAATAAAAAAACTTGAGCCTGCGATGATATATATATATATATTAGTTAACTACTATAAGGAAGGCTTCCCTGTTAAGGGAGAGATTCCCAAATGTTCCGATATTCTAGTGTGTAAATGACGCGTGGTTTGACCCACATACGATGCAGAGCAGCATCGACACTTAAATGAGTATACAACACCAGATCTCAGGAGCTTGGGAGCCCTAAAGGAAAGAAAGAGGAGAGACGCCTGGAAGAACGAAAAACAAAGCGAACGTTGATATGAGGAAAGGCAGCATTGCAGACTCGAGTGATTTGAGTGCGAATCTGTAGACAGTGTAGGCCAGTGAAAGGGAGACAGAAGTACATGATTTTCTTAGAAGCAGCGTGAATAAGATCTTTGGTTCAAATGTATTGTTGAGGAAGCGGTGAACATGATTGTCAAATATGTATGAAGGGAAGTTGTTTAAGGTGAACAATTTTCTAACGACTTCTAGTTCGGTATGAAAGTGTTCATAGCTGGAGCAGAGGTTGAAAATTTTGTGAAGTAAAGAGGAGATCGAGGAGCGTTTGTATTGAATGGGAATGAAACTATGGAAATTGGTGAAGAGACCAGTGAAAGTGGGTTTACGATACACGGAGGTGGAAAACTTGCCGTTTGAGCGAGTTATTTTTACGTCAAGAAAGGGGAGCGTGCTGTCTTTTTCCAGTTCAGATGTAAAGGAGATGTTAGGATGTTGGTGGTTCAGATAGGTAAGGAAAAGAGATATGTGATCCAATGATTGGAAGAGTAGAAAGCAATCATCAAGGTAACGTTGGTAAAGAAGGGGTTTGAAGGGTTCTTTACCAACGTTACGCTTAAAGTTACGCTTAAAATCATGCTTAAAGTAATTTCTTGACATTCATCAATAACTTCAAAAACCCCACACTGCCTTTTCCAATTTAAAATGAAATCTGAAGAGAAAAACACTTTATTCCTGGTTTCATCATCATCAGTTATGAATATAGTTCTAATACACCAATCTGCCATTATCATCAGCACTAATGATGCTATACATTTAGCACTCAAATGTCAATCAGATTTCAAAGTTGATTTGTAATGCATACTACATCATTATTTATACATCCGAAGACTGCAACAGTATTTCCATTACTTTTTCCATCTTAAACTTGCATTAGAAGACATATTTGTCGATCGAAATTTTAGCAATTAAGACAATAATTATTTTGCAGCAAGGAGCTATATTACCAGAAATGACGTTATATATATATATATATATATATATATATATATATATATATATATATATATATATTACGGATAATAATTCTGGATTAAAGAGCGCTCAATATTCTATATATTAGAAGAGCGTAAGATAAAATGAACTAAAATAAAATGAACAATTATTTGCTGAAAATATTGAATTTTTTATCATTTGAAAAAGATTTAAAATGAATTGAATGTTTTAAATTTTCTACAAATGGTTGAATTTTCAACATTTTCTTTTTCGGCGGAATTGTTTTCATTTTTAATAAATAGCTGCACACAAAATGCAATGGATATAACAAAGGATGCCCAGAATATTCCATCAATAAAATATCAAAGGCTTGAATAGATAAAAAATCCATATAATTGAATCATAAAAAATCTTATAAAATAACTCGTTAATTTTTGGAGGTTATGTAAATGGAAAAAAATCTTCAAAAATGTATCAATATAACTAATTTTTGTCATAATGTTATCTGCAAAAAAGTACTAATAGAAAACAATAAAAATTAAAAAACCGTTTAAAACTGAAGCAATTAAATTTAATAGCATGTTTATTTATATACATTTTATAGTTAGAGTTAACATCAACTCTTGGTTTGTATTGATTATAGTAAAATTTACAACTATGACCACCAATATCATCCAC